TACGTTACATTCTTTAATATTTAGTTCCAAGGAACTGATATACTATCAGCAACTAATGGATTTGTTTTTTATCAACTAGTGTTTGTAATCCAGTGGTTTTCAAATTTCTTCCACTGCCAACACTCTAACCAACTTACCCTAACAACTTATCGCAACACAAAGTTTAGATGTAATTTGTATTACCTCTCTGCATCAAACTGAACTGAGATTTGTTCATCATCTGTCCACAGGTTCCTTGAAGATAGTATTGATGATGAATCCCGGACCATGTCAACAGAATGCACACAGAACCTGAGCGTCCGTCAGCTTTGGATCTACAGTCCGGAAACTGGTTTTTCTCTCGATACTTTCTGGTTGCCATCTAACTGTACCCAAACTGTATAACCTAACCAGGACCCACTTTATTGATTTCTAAATAATGACTTAGTACGATTTTATGTGTGTTTTTAGTGGAGTTATTCTGTTTTAATTAGCAGTGGTTAAATTGTAGGGGAGCTGCATTTCCTGCTCCCTCTCCTAACTTGGTCAGATGTGTTTCTATGTCTGTGATTAAAAGAGACATATATCGATAAGAGATCAATTATACAAAAAGGAAGAGAGGAAGTTCCTCATTTTTAAACATTCCAATTCAACTACTGTCAATCACACCTTTGTTAATCAAAGCTGTTAACAATAAGCAGAAGTATGACATTTTTATCCATAACATTTACTACTCTACATTTTCGGAATGTTTTTTTTAAATCAAATCGGTAACTAATCATCGATCTTACCCGAAGATTGTTGACTGGAAAACATAATTACTTATTTTAAAATGTATTACATCGAAATTGTTCAGGTTTATACCGTTTTTCAAGTTAATGAACTTGAAAAAAAGAATAGACTATAAATGTTAAAATTTCAACCCTTGTTAAACATATCAAACAACGCTAAAATTCATGAACGTGAACCAAACACGTTTCGGTGATGACGAACATCTGAAAGAAATGATAATTATATTTCTTACAGTATAGAACTGACCCCCATTTTTCTTGTTTTACAAAATTTGGAGCGTGAAGTAGATTTTTGGGATTCTTTGATATGAAGTGACAGTTTAAAGGCACGCCCTAAGATAATCTACCGACTCGCATTACATCCCTAAAGAACGAAGTTTGCCTTCAGACCATCGCTGTTATAAAACCGATAATAACTTTCTCAATTAAATATTGTTTTTTAAAGTTAAGTCGCTGGTATTGAGCCAACAGTTCTTTCACCAGTCGATTCTGTAGGACAGTAAATAACTGATAATTGTACAGTGTTTGAAAACAACCGTAAAATATTACTTACTTTCCTGTTTTGTATTTCTTTGTTGATTCTTTATTGATGGTTTGAGATGAAGATCCTTTACAAGTATTTTATACAAGACATACTGAAGTAATGACAACACAAAGATCTATTTTTGTTAAGACGTAGGACAATGACAAGTAAAAAGTGTAAGAATAACGTACTAAACCTTACCCAACAACTTGCATTGTGCAACATCAATTGATGTTATAATAAACAATAGAAAGTTTTCTGTATAGTGTTGTTCACTTTATTTGATTTTTCTGGTCTTACACTCTTCACTGCGGACTTGGTCAAAATGTGAAGAGATCTACGTAATACAATGTTTACACTCAGTACAAGTGAGCTTATACGTGGAGTACATGTAATTATATGATACAGTGTTTACACTCAGTACAGGTGAGCTTATACGTGGAGTACATGTAATTATATGATACAGTGTTTACACTCAGTCCAGGTGAGCTTATACGTGGAGTACATGTAATTATATGATACAGTGTTTACACTCAGTCCAGATGAGCTTATACGTGGAGTACATGTAATTATATGATATACACTCAGTACAGGTGAGCTTATACGTGGAGTACATGTAATTATATGATATACTCAGTGCAGGTGAGCTTATACGTGGAGTACATGTAATAATACGATACAGTGTTTACACTCAGTACAGCTGAGCTTATACGTGTAGTACATGTAATTATACGATACATTGTTTACACTCAGTCTAGGTGAGCTTATACGTGGAGTACATGTAATTACATGATACACTCAGTCCAGGTGAGCTTATACAGTGGAGTACATGTAATTATATGATACACTCAGTACAGGTGAGCTTATACAGTGGAGTACATGTAATTATATGATACACTCAGTACAGGTGAGCTTATACAGTGGAGTACATGTAATTATATGATACACTCAATACAGGTGAGCTTATACAGTGAAGTACATGTCCGGATTCAGAATCTGAGGATACACAATTCGTGTCCCATTGCTGCAAAAACACACTCAACTATAAGAGTGACGGTTAAATCTCACTACTGGATTAGAGTACCTCAAGAGTTGGCGATGGGTGCTATTGAGTAGTTTCCTTACCTTTAGCATATCAGTTCAAAATAAGGGACAGCTATGGGAAAACAGTCTTTGTGTAGCTTTACCAGAAAATTATAAATACAAACAAACGAACAATTTATTAGTATAGACATGTGAATATCTCTCTTGCAAATAAATATCTTCTGTTTACATGTCTTTCCTAACATTTAGTGACGATACGATTAAAGTCGTTTTAATACAGAAAGTCTACATTTCAATTTTCAATGAAGATCAGTAATGCTGTAATGTTATCTGTGATTTTTAACTTCTTTAAAACCAGATGTTCTTCACACACACACAAGTAAACTGCTCCTCGAGCTTTCAGGTCATTTGTCTAAAGTTCTATATTTATACTGCTACATGAGGGAACTTGACTCAGAACAGATAGAATAAAGCCTTACAAAAAGGAATGCATAATCAAACTATATTAAAAACATTTAGGGTCTAAACGCCGAAAGCTAGCGAAATATTGAAAAAAACAATAGGCTTAGAAATTATTAAAAATCAAGTCAACTGCAGATGTTTTATTTCTACGTTCCTCTTAATTTGTCCATTTGGTTCCAAGTCAGAGGTCGCGAAAGAAAAATAGATGAATGTAGAGAAAAAACATGTTATTCATCATTTATGATGAGGCACATTGTGCTATTATATCAAGAGTAAAAAAAAATAAACGGTTTTTGACAGAATGAAAGGTAAAATCTTGATTATTAGTTACAGCTGACTAGTTTTGGTAACACAGTTACCATCTTCAGACCTTTATCTTTCAAAATAAGTCGGGTTTGTTTTTTACTCTTTAATACTTGCAGTTAATTTGATTTTTATAACAATAACAGTGAAATAGAAAGTTCCTTCGATCTGAATTTTTAGGCCTCTCATAACATTTTTCACAGTTATATCTGTTATCAACAATTTAGAGCTAAGTATAAGTTATGAATTTTTAGGCCTCTCATAACAGTTTTCACAGTTATATCTGTTATCAACAATTTAGAGCTAAGTATAAGTTATGAATTTTTAGGCCTCTCATAACAGTTTTCACAGTTATATCTGTTATCAACAATTTAGAGCTAAGTATAAGTTATGAATTTTTAGGCCTCTCATAACAGTTTTCACAGTTATATCTGTTATCAACAATTTAGAGTTATTCAAACAGACGGATGATTTCAGTTTCTAATACAAAACACTTTTGTTTTAGTTAATTTTTAATTCAATACACTAAACTGTAACACTGATTCAATGCATTAACTTAAAAATCGAAACAGTATTTAAAAGAACTAAATGAAAATTCATTCCTGTCAAAAACAAAGAACAAAAGCATTGTTATAACTAAATAATTCGTAATTAATAAGCAGGACTAAAAGATTCAAGTTTTAATCAAAAGAGGGCGCTTAGGAGAGCAAACCACATATTTACTTTTTGGAAATTACGTAAAGCATTGAGGCATTTAATGCATCACACCGCAATTAAGTATTATCATAAATCTTTTTGGTAAACAAGTGTCTCCCTATATATATTTATATGTATATATATAATTTTAAATAATGTGGCTGCAGTCGGTAATAGATAGATAGATAGAACGCTCTGCAAAACAACAGAGTTAAAGCCAAGAGTGCAAGGCTTAGTATGGTATTGTATATTTTATATACTACAAGACGAGGCACCCGTCCTTTGTCCAGGTTATGAAGTTAAAAAAAAATGTGTGGGTGTATACTATGATAAATAACACAAAAATCCTAACTTTCAAACGATTTAGTTATAACATATTATTACAGTATTCATTATTACCTCACCAAAAGTTCTGTAATGTTTAAGAACTCAATATGCATATAGTTATAACATGGTATATACTGTCTGATGGTCAGGATGACTTTGTACGAAGAGGTAGCGGCAAAATTATTGGTGGTAGCGGTGCTTTCTGTTATCCAATTTCAACACCCAGCTCTTAATGCCTTTATCCAGTGTTTCGTGTAAAAAGTTAATTGATGGTCATTGGTCGTAGAAGTGTCTCACGCGCTGAAGTTGTAAGGTCACGGGTCAAAGTATGAAGTTGGTATAACTAAACAAACAAAAACGGCTCTTCATATCAGCCTTATGGTGGTTGTTGGAAAAGAACCTTTATCTGAATGTATGTATTATTCCAATAGTGGTGGCCATTTTTTTCATTGCGTTCCTGTGTAGAGTGCTAGCACACTCTCTGAGATATATAAGACGTTTGTATAATAAAGTTCTAATTTTCGGTGTAAGGACGTGGTGCCATCTATGAATGTAGTTAACGTTAACTTACGTCAAAGGTAATAAATACTCAATAATAGCAATAATAGGGGTTGAGGGGCTGTGAAACCAACATTAACATACTCCTTCTTCCAAACTATCATCCCACAAAGTTTGGTTGAGGTTAGCCCAGCGACCTAGGAGTACTTAGATAATGAACAGATAAACATACACGCAGATTTTGAGTGTGTGTGCAAAGCTACGCAATGGGCTGTGTGTACTGTTGCGTCATCGAGGTCACGTGACTGATGTGGCGCCCTCTAGTTTCTAGAACTATCTTGTTTCTTCATGAATGCT